ATTTAGAACTTCCCCATTCTCACAGCTTTGATTGTATCCATAGATGGTTCAACAGAAAAAAAAACCCAAAAACTTTCCCAGCTGCCAGGTTATTCTCACAAAGAGGCTAACTAGAACTCAAAAAAAACCCCAAACAAACAAACAACCCAACAACAAAAATAAAACAAATAAAAATAAAAAGGCCAGGAATTATTTTAATGTTAAAAAATAAAATAAAATAAAAGCGGATATGGCAACGCTACTAGTAAAGTGGAATACATCACAGAAACCAAAGTCTTTTTGCAGGCAACACTGTTTGGAGAGAGGAGAACACTTGATGGGTGAAAAAAGTGAAGTTCTAAATTATATACAATAGTATCTAAGGGTGGCTTTGAAAAACAGTCTCCTTTAACGTGATTCAACGTTTAACTTGCCGTTATCTATTGCTTATTTATTCAGATCCGTAATAACACTTAAGAGACACGGATGTGTAAAAACGAGACACCGTGGAATAAAGAAAAACCAAAAAAACAGCTTTTCATATGAAAACGCCACGTGTACGCGCTTGTCTGATGTGGAATGTACCTACAGTCGTTTCACGGGCCAGGGGCTTCTCCTCGCCGTGCCGCTCCGGTAGGAAAACCGGTCGGTCTGTCCGGCCAGAGAGCTGGGACATGCTCGCTCGCTGGGGGGAGCTCGGGGGAAGCGCCCCGCAAGCTTCTTATCACCCCAAAACTCGTTTCCAGGCGGAAAAGTCCGACTCGCCCGGCTGTGAACGGACAGGATCCGAAAGCGTCTGGTAGCGAGATGGAAAAAAGGGGCAGAAAGCCCTAATCCTTATGAAGGACGAGACTCAGTTGTTAAATTTTAAGGGGTATCCGATGGCTTTTTCCAGGCACTCTACCAAAGAGCCGGCGGAAAGAAAATCCCTCTCCACTTCCACAAATTTGATGTAGATGGATTTGGGCGACACGCCAGGCTCTACGACGCAGTTCTGAGATAAAAAGGCGTTGATCCCGACCCAATCTTTGCTGAAGGTTTTGGTGTTTGCCTGAAAGTGTAAAAACAGGCACTGCTGGAGAGTCCGGACCTCGGCGATGCCGAGGTAACAGTAGATAATCCGGGTGGATTCCATGTCTACCCGGAGGGAGGCTTGTGGCGAAGGGACCTCCAGCTCCCCTTGAGTCTCATTGCCAGGATCGGGCCCCCTGTGCTCGGCGAGAGGGGAGGGGGGCTTCTCGTGGCACTCTTCATACCCGATGGCATACAAGCCAGGGCTTTTGGGGATCCCTCCCGGTAATAAATACTGAACAACGTTTCCTCCAGTAGGCTTGGAGTGAGCGATTGGTATCCAGTCGATCTCCATGTGCAGCTCGAGGCATCTGGCTTCGCTGATGGTGATCTCCAGAAATTTGTAATAAACGTTTTTCCAGTTCATTTTCTGCACTCTGGTCATGATAACCCGACCCTCTGGTTTTTCCGAGTTGAAATATTCCCGGAGCCGCTTGCCGAGGGGTACCTGGGAGCTGATCTCTGCGTAGTGGTAACGAATATCCTCCTTCCAGCGGGTGTTGTAACCAATGCCGAAAATGGCCAGTTTGTTAGAAAGATGTAGCCTGGAGAAGTCTGTCCAGCTCTGAAACAGCTCCCACTTCAACTGGACCGACTCCAAGATTTGCATAATATTCTGCATGACGTCACGCTTCCTGGAGATTAAAAAACACGGAGAAAAGGATAAAGGCATCAGTAAACCGGAGCGGCAAAACCCTCCCAGCCAACACAATGACCTTTGGAAAATAGTAATAATCCCTTTCAGCTTTCTCAGCTGCTTTTTAGACAGTGGGTATTTTATTACTCTATACATCCTATGTTGCTACGTGAGTTTATGGATTATAACACCACACTGATGTTTTTTTAATTAATCTCAACAAAACTAAAGAAAAAAACCCAAGCCAAACTCATTCCAATATCTCAAGCAAACAATCTCTGCAGGAAATAAGATTTAATGCAAGAAGTTCTGCAGGAGATAACCCAGTTAAGAAAACGAGAGCTGATAAATTCCCAAGTTCAGCTTCCAAGGAAGATTTCTGCTCTTCCCAATCCCCAAAAAACACACAGTGGAAATGTCCTGCTCCTACCTGCGCTGCTTCAAACAAACCACGAGCAAACACATGTCTGGTGCTGCTAAATAAATGCAAACTCAGTTACTGAGTTACTCTTTACATCCACGTGTCCCCAGCAGCACCCAGAGCTGCACCCGCCACTCCAAACACTCCCACCTCATCATTACTCCAAAATTAATGTGAGTGAACGGGGCTGTAATTGGACAAAACCCCACAAAGCAAGGGCCAAGTCAGTCTCGGCGCTGGATCAGGAACATGGTTCAAGGGACTGACCCTGCGGAGCAGAAGATGGCTCAGACACGACCGAGGCGATAACCTGCTGTGGGATGGATGACAGAAATCCCTCTGGATTACCAATAAAAAAATCCCCACATTTCCCAAGATTTCTCTTTGCTCCCAGTAGCGACGGCAGCATCAAAGCAAGTTTCCACGGGGGGATTTACGCTTTGCTAAGCCATCAGGAGCGAGCGTTCGCGTGTGCTTGAAGCAAGCTGGAATAGCTTCCTCCAGGATGAATGAGACACTTAGGGTGTAATTAGCTAGCAGGGAGAACTACTAATTTTAGGAGTTATTGTCCTGTAATCAAAGCTGTAGGAAGATAATTTGATACTCGTTTGGTAATGGAGAAATCTCTCTTGGTCCAACAAATCGGATTTGAAAGTTTGCTCCACGCAACTCTCTTTTATCTGTCGTGCCAAATTGCAATTGCACAGGGGGCTACCACATCCCCAAGAGGATCCTCCCTCCTCCAATAACCCACCAGGAGAAAATACTGTGTCATTAATCCCTGCACCAGGCGGCACCAGTTTTCTCCAGGGCACGCACAAACTTCCCTCCTCTTGTGGGTTCCTTTGCTGCGTTCATTGAGATCACTTAAACTCCCTCAAAGCAGCTTTTCCCAACAGCTGCCCCGTAGCTGGGGTATGAGACTGGTGAGGGACTGAAGCTTTTTAGGCAAAAGCAGATATGACACCCCACAAACCGCACAAGGGATTAAGACTCCAGCAGCTGCACTTCTGCCCAGTAAATCCCTGCATGGACGAGGTGGCCTCTTTCTCCTGCGTACTGATGTAAGAGTTCAAAGAAATAAGGTTTGGGAGCTGCAGACCCTTCCCGTGGTGCTGGAGGGGTCCAACCTCACAGCCTCTGGTCTCAAACCCCCTGCTTTTAGAGGTGTAAATACAACACATGTGATTTTGGGAAGGTTCTCCACGTGCTGGCTGTCCTTCAGGCGACATGGTGCCTCTGGGACTGAGGGCGCTGGACTCTGTGTTGAGCAGTTGGGCACCCGGCAGTCAGCACACGCCAGCCCAGCAAACCACAGCCGGGGTGTACAACCGCCCCTGACTCCCGGCTGAGATCGCTCATGGCCACGGGAGGGAAACATCCACTGGCGTGCTGCCTGTCTTCACGATCTAGCAGCAGCAACCACACCAGAAGATTCTTAGTTTGACCTTATAAGTCATTTCGGCACGGGCCTCCCTGCCACAATCAGAGCGTAACTGAGTTTCTAGAGCACCAAGGAGGGGACCTGCTTGACAAAAGGAGTTGTCTGACCCCAGAGGCTTTTAAAAACGCATGCTGCATCACCAACAAACTCCTGTTTCTTATTTTAAGTTACTTCTGAGGAGTTATTTCCACTTCCCCCTCCCTAGCAGCAAAGGAGAAAAACACCATACAAGAAAAATGCATATTTACTCAAATCCATTTGTATTTACATGCAAACACTGAGGCAATACTGAACCATTTCAAAGCTTCTCTACAGCTTCCCCGCTGCTTCTTCAGATGCTGAACAGCACAGCATCGCTATGCTTGGAAAAATCTCTTTTTTTAGACTTTTGGAAATGCAAGTTCACCTTCTGGGGACAAGACACCAGCCAGACAAGGGGACACGGTAAGCGCAGGGCTGTTGGTAGCACAGAGCCTGTTTCACTGCTGTTATACACTCATTCGACTCAAGAGAGACAGCTGAACTCAATTTAAAGAAAGCAGTCCCATCTAAACCAGAGACAGAATAAAGCAGCGTGGGTAGATTTTCATTCAACAGTGGAGGAACAGAGCTAAGAACCAAAAAAAAAAAAAAAGCTCCCACCTTTATTAATTATACTATAAATATTCTCGCTAAGTTTAGTTCAGCACAAAATAGAGCTGAAGCTCTGGTGAAAAAAAAAAAAAATTTAGTCACTCAAACTGCTCCTGCTGGGGAGAGGAATAATTTCACTACATATGATCTCTGGCAGCACCTCGCGTATGGGAGAGAAAGGCTTTCCACAGAGGGAATCCATCACTTCGAGCACAGAGGAAACAATAGGGGAAACAAATGAAATTTTAAAAAGCTTTACTTTTCAGTTTTAGCATCTCCTCTTCCCACTTACACCAGGACACTGTGGAGCTTCACTTTCCCAGGCTCTACGCAGCATCTCCACGATTCAGCCAAACACAGGTATTATAAGCAGTAAGAGTCAAATTGTTACTATTATTTATTTTTCAATAGAAAAATCTAAGCGAGGGGAGGGCTCACCCTCTGTCAGCACTGTGTGTCACAAGGCAATCCCGTTTTTCATCTGCAGAAGGTGCCCTAGAGCTGGGTTTTACCCTATCGTCAAACCATGACCTCCCTGCTGGAGACCGGCCATCAGCATTTCTTTTTCCCCCGGAAGCTTTTGCAATTCAAATGAGGAAAGATGCGAGACAAGACATGGTGCAAATTTGTTTTAAGGCACTGTTTCCAAACCAAAGCAGACTTCAAAGAGGCTGGAACAGCTGGTTTCAGTGAAAGACCCAGCTCGCCAAGCTTTTTCTAGTTCATCTTCGCAAAACGAGTAAAACCGCTCCTCAAAAATAAATTTAAAATAGCAGAACAGAGTCTTAAGTAGCATTTCACTTTTCAAGACAGTTTATTTGGAGGCAGCAGCATGCCAAGGGGATGCAACAGCAGAGCCGATGTGGGGAAGGAAAGTTCAGCTGACAGAGCACAAGACCCAGACACAGCTTACCTAGCACTCTCCTCTTCCTACACCACCGAAAATAAGGATTTCCCTTATTTCCTGGGTTGCCTTATGTGTCCGTGGAGGCTGGTTATTTACTACCTGAAGCTAAGAGAGGTCTGCGCTAACGTGCTGTGCAGCTTGCTTGGAGCTACAACCTCTGGTGTGCATGATCAGCAGGCAGGAGCGGCCGAACCCCTCGCAGGCAGCAGGAGTAAAGCGAGCTCGCCCTCTTTCCAAAGGTTTGTGGTCAGTTGATAGCAACAGTAGCCTCACACATGTGTGTGTGATCAGGAAAAAAAGAGCTGGAATAAATTCCAGCACCCGGAGAGCTCAGCGATACTTTCCTACAGCAAGCATCTCGGTGGCACTCCCACCCTCTCTGCTAGGGAAATAATGTCACAGTGCACATCTGTTCCCCTGTTTTAATGCAAGCTGCTTAGCTCCAAAAATCCTTCCAAAAATCCCAGGGGAAGGAAAGAGGGAAGCAAAGACGAGATTTTCAGCAACATGTGTGCTTACAGTCCAGCATCAGGCATCGTAATTTCTTCACCTCAAAACTTGCAGCACAAGGTTCAGCAGAGTCAGAACACACCATCACACCCTCGGATTTTATTGAGATTATTTCTGCTGAAAATCTTCATCCAACCAAGCAAGCAGATGAAATAGCCTTATTTCAACCTCCTTTGAAATAAGTGATATGTATTTTAAAATGCTGGCCAAAGAGGTAAAAAAGTTTGGCATCTATTTATCATCTTTATCAGCCTTTTAGGAATAGATGGAATACTATTTTTTGAAGATAAATAAATACCCAGTTTATCTTCATATCAGATATGTTCTCCCAAATGCTTTTAATCTACTAAATTAGAGTTTAAAAGTTCCTCGCTCTCAGAGCAGGGAAAAGAAGTTTTCAGCAAATCTCTATGTTGGAAGATGCTTTGTGCTTCCACTGAGCACAAAAAACGGGCTTATCACCTGCACACTTCACGAAACGCCCAAGAGTTCAGAGACTTCTGTGCATTTTAGACAGAACTTGGGGGGGG